CTTACCTAACATTTGGCTTTAAAAGGCGACACATTACAGCCCTAACTACAACCATAGATAAAACTAGTCTATGCGTGTGTATACTTTCTAAATCATATTTTGTAGATTTAATTTGTACACTTTCGCTCTTCTATGTCGACTATCGCACCTATACTTCGCAGTGGTTCCAATGTCACAGCATGAAGAGGCCGATGTTGACGAGGAAATGTACATCATAGGCTACTGAGCTCTCCCATTTTTATTTATCGCCTCGCTGCTTAATATCCCTTCTTCATGAGATGTACTAGTGAGTGAAAGAGAAACAACCAAAAGAGCTGTAGGATATTTGCCGACTTCAGCCCGATAAGTAACATCCACACTCGCCAGTAATGTCCCTCATCGATAAAAAAATATGTTTGCTACTCGTCTTATTCATATAGTATACCGTACTAACTGCGCTCTTGGTGACTATAGAACATTTCCCCAAAGAAACATTCTTTATTTCTAAAGAACTCTTACTAAAGAATTTTCTTTATTGTCAAATAACGTATTTTGCAAAGGAATTTTTTCAATGCCGAAGAACGATATAGTTATGGGAACGTTTTTCGTTGCTAAAGATCGTTCTGTTTAAGGAAGATTCTTTGTTGCCAAAGAAACAATCTTCCTAAGGCACATTTTTCATTGATGAAGAACGTTCTACCCAAGGCACAATCTTAACTTTCAATCCACGGTTATGTCAAGGAACACTCTTCAGTACCAAAGAATATCCTTGCCAAGGAACATTCTTCGTTGCTAAAGGACATTTTTGCCAAGGAACTATTCTTCGTCACCAAAGAATATTCTGGTCAAGGAACATTCCTTATCCTCTCTCATGTCCACACTCTATTGTCTGTTACAGAGATGCAGCGCTGAGGGGTGGAGACCAAGGTGGATTGTAACGGCGATGTGTGTGACCCACGAGGGTGTGGACTGGACGGGGGCGGCGGCGGGGGCGGCTGCTGGGGGCTGGGGGCGGCTCACAGCTGAGCTACGAGGGTCGCTGTGCAGAGGCAGAGTGTGGGTACATCTGTCCTGGGAGTTACCTCTGGATCACTCGCCGGACATACAGGACTGGATTGGACTATACTATGTCGGTAAGCGGCCTGATTTTTGTCCCTGCTTTTCATCCTACTAGAGACCAGAAGGAACATATTTGTTTTATTTTTTCCGGTTTCATATTTTACTTTATGCTAGGTGTAGATGGGAGCGACATTATAACCCGGGTAAACACTGTTGATTGGTGGGGGTTGATTCTGGGACCTCGGGGAGAATAGCCTCGCACTCTTCCACTACCAGCTCTCACTCAGTAGTCCACCAAGTACGTCACAATAGTCCGTGGTATCATTCAAGTGCCACATCTAGTTATACCAGCTATGACCTCAGAACGAGATTAGAATTCAGTAGTCGTTGACTAAGCTGTTGGAAATCGTGTTGAATGTTATTGTTATTGACTTGGTGTGCCTGCCTGAAGACATTTTGCATCGTTTAGATTTAGAAGAAGAACTATCCAAATCTTTGAACAACTGCTTCTCGAAACGTCACGTAAAATTCACTACCACAGAATAAAGAGTAGCTAGTTATTACTAGCTATTACCATTGACTATTGGATACAGAAGTTGTTGTATTAATAGTCAAAGCTATTACTGATATTTCAGTAATACCAGCGCCAACTTAAGAACTAATAGGTTTTTAGTCCAAAAGGTCTACAACACATGTTGACATTACGTGGGGCTTCTTCGGCTACTCTTTTCTACCACACGTTCCGCCCTTACCGGTACTAGCAGTGGGTGAAGTACCCTCAGTTATTACTTACATACAGACATTTAAAAACCAACTTTAACTGCGATAGCCTGTATCTACAACCGAAGTAGCCCTTAATTCTCATTGATTTAAACTATTGTTTCTTCATTTACTACACACACTGTGGTCGCTTACTCTCCAAAACATCGACAACCATTTAATTCGTCCATACAACAGCTGAGTTGAAGCGCGTGCTAATCAGTCGAGTGATCGGATTTACGGTGTGTGATGTTTACACGCCAATACGCCCAAGTGAGGAATTTCACAGCCCCTGTGTCACTTTACAACCCTAGTGTCCGTGGTGGTGACATTCGTGTTTCCGGTCCGGAAACGGCCACAATGGGGAAGCCACCTGTTCGGCTTCATCTGTTAGTTTTACCTGTCACCCCAATTATCTGTGTTGAATTATACACATTGACTTCTGCAGTTTGAAACGTATTGGGATACCGAAGTAGACATCTATATGGATCCATAATTACGATCTCTAGCCAATTCTTATTAAAAATATAACTTACCAGTAGTTAGAGCCTCTCGTTCACAGGTTGTGCTACTATTTTTTCTTCATTTTAGCGAATTTCCCTATAGGGAAGTAGCTATTACCGTAGGTCTCATGTAAGACCTAAGCCCGGGACCGATTTACTTTTTCATTTTGATGTCCCCAGAGGCCAAAAACACCATTCGTTCAAATTTTTATATATCTATATATAGAGATATATATATATATATATATATATGTGTCCATCCACACGATAACTTGAGTAATTTTTGTCCGATTTTGATAAAATTTGGTTTGAAGGTGTAAGGCAGGATAAACTTGAACGAGTTCGCAAACCAGCATGATCGGACTATGGGAACGGGGGTTTATGGGGGGTTTTATGGGGTAAAAATAGGTTTTTCCCATTTTTGGCCCTAAAAACACAAAATTTCACAATTTATTTTCAAACCATTTTGTAGAGCTTAAAAAAACAAATAATTTAGTATATTGAAGCGTTATTATGCGCCTAATTGTTACGGAGAAAATTCAAAAAAATTGTAATTTTAAAATTCCCATGTTATTTTTATGGAGAATAAGTCAGCTGTTTTAGTTTGCTTGTTTATGAACATATTTTGATTGATTTTGGAAAATACTTTTATTTCTTACTAAACTATTTATAAAAAAAATCTTTTTTACCCTCCCTGTTGCAGCAAACCTAAGTACTCGTTAAACTAATTCTATTTAAATAGGAAAGAAATGTGCTATTTTTATAAAGGCATTTTAGTGTAAATCTAATCAGGTTAATGGAAATTCGCTTAGTCTGCAGGTTTGCTGCGGCGGGGTATTTCATCAGTGTTGATACTGTGATAGTTGATAGTTGATGTGACTAACAGTTGTTGAAGTTTGGTTTGGCCAAGTTGATTTGACTCGGAACACGTAGGGTTCACCCAACCATGTCTTATTGTCGAGTCCCACACCATACAGTATTCTCTCTCCATTTGTTTCACCTAAATGGTTATGTATTCATGTCCGTACGTGTGTGAGTATCCCATTTGTTATTTATGTTGATACCCTTCAAATGAAGCAAGAAGACTGGCCTGAGGATGATTCGTATGTGAAACTAGTTGTCATACCATGATTTTCAGATCGTATGTAGTTTACCAATTAATTATAAAATAACTTGTAAGTACGCCACTGGTTCCATTTTGTGAGGTTTTTCGCTACATCGCGGGTGCTAGGGCACCAACTTTATTTAATAAGCATATTTATTAAAAATATCACTGTTGGTCAGTTTTAACTACACTATTAAATTTCCTCAGAAACTGTAAAACAAGTTGACAAGTTCTGAGACCGTAGATGATTTGGATTAGGATAATAAAAATAAATATATCCATAATCATACAATTGGATTCTAATAAAAGTTGGTGTTAGCCTGTCAACTAGGGACGTACTGTCTTCGGTTTGGATGTGCTCCTTTTGTCTGAAATGTCAACAAATCTAGAGCTAAAATTGTAGAAAGAATCTGTCTAAATCTAACGCCTCAAGCTCTTTGAGACAATGTCTGTGTTTTTAAATATGTATTGCTTCCAATATTTTGATGACGAACAACTCTTGTTTACCTCTAGGACTTTCAGCTCTGGTATGGACTTTCATTACAGTAATAAAAAATCTCATATTCATTCCATGCAACCATTCCACCACCCTCTCGAACTGCGCAGGTACAGTACCTCATCAACCAGAGTTTTACCTGCATCCACACTCGTTTCCGCCCCTGGGGCTCCCGGTTCACTAATGACTAAATGAACTCGTCCAAACTGATAAATTACCGTGGCTTCGCACCCCCAAAAAACTAAATACACCCCACCTGGGGCAAAAACGGCGGATGTGGTCCCACCCCTGCTGACCGCGACAGAAATAACCAATTTACTTCTTTGTTCTCGCTCCTCGCGGATGCTGTCTGGGGAGGAAATATCCCGCAGAGGATGAAGGTGACTGAGGTGAGGTAGAACAAGGGATGCTAGGAATGATCGTTGTGCAATCATTAGTTCCTGGGGTGAATGGAGTAGATTTACTGGTTGTCTTCAGATAATGAGTTTGGGGTGGGTTGACCTTCCCAATTAATTATGAACGAATAAGAGAATAAGTTTTCTGGTTATTTAGTCAATGTTGAAGTTTAACAATCGCAAGGCGAACCCAAGGTTGATAGAATAGTAACCCAGACTCTAATTTTTTGATCCAATTATTTAGCTCACGCGAAAGTCTTTCTAGTGGACTTTGGCTTGCAATAAGGAGGACGATTGTCACTACTATGAGTTGGAAGCAAGCTTTTACTTTAGCAAGGCGTGAACTTTAGCGCTCGCCCTGGATTTAAAAAGAGAGATGAAGAAAATGCAGAATACCACAGCCGCAAAAAGCCATGGGGATGAAGTCCTCTCGATCAGGGACTAATCAACACAATGAAATGTGTTTTCAGTCCCCCTAAGGAGTTGTTTTGAATGCCTGAAGTGTTCACTGTTGGTTCTTGAAGAGGAAATAGATCGTAATGAATTTCAAGTCGGCGTATACTTCATTGTACTGAAATATGGAGTCTTCACAATCAGGGAATTCTCTCCAAGGTTATGATTCTGTTTGGTTTACCCTCAGGTGAGCACGATTGTGTACGTTTTGTATGCCTTGCAGGCTCATTGATAGTTTTCGATAGTAATACTCGATCGCAATGAATTTCAAGCCGGTATATCCTGGAGTGTGCTGGGAAGATGAGCCTGAGCTCAAGGTCGACTTGTGACATTTGCCTTCCATCCGGGACCCAACGCAACACCGCCTCGACCTCCGCTCCAGCTTCGACCACTTCATCCTCCCCCACTCCTTGATTAAAGTTGTTGAAAAAATACTACCATTTTATATACACTGGTAATCTTGAAGAGGATTTTAAATAAAAAGGTCCAACAGTGTTTGTCTCACATAGTAAACTTTCCGATGCGTTTATTTGTCTGTGTTGCACTATGATATTGCTCATTCTCCTTCCAGTTAGTTCATAGAACCGTCGATTGTGTACGGACATAAATGTATTTTTATTGGCAAGGATTTGCTGCTACGAAAGTATTGAGTGATGGGCTAAAATAAAGCACGACTTCTAGATCCATTTTTCTCAATCCACTAAATTGTCACATAATTTTGTTTTTAGATTTTTTCCACCGGTTTTGTTTTAAATGCCCCAGTGTTCCAAAAAGGGTTTTCGAAACAGTAATCTGCTCATAGTTCTGAAAAATTGAAACCGTAAATTTTCATTTATTACATACGATACATTAAATTAATTATGGCTAATTAAATTAAATTCTGCTGATTTAAAAAAGTATTTTTAAGTTTTAAATTTCAATACCAATAATAATAATTAAAGAAATAATACATGTTTTGCTTCAGTGAGAATAGATCACAAATGCTATTGTAATAATAAGACGTGTGGGAATATAAAATGTGGGAAATTGTCTGTCTATTCTTTCAATGCATAATCAGTTCTTGGTGGAAGAACTTATTATCCCCCTCCTTCCACAAGCAAGAGCGAGTCCCAAGCTGGTTCAACCAAAATATAATCACTTTGGCCAGGACACCGTTTTTTGAGTAACGAAAGACACGCTCCTGATTAACTAGACAAACTTTCTACCACGTGATTGAAATTTCACAAGCCCGTGTCAAATGTGAGGTCTTTGTTGCACTGTTTGGCCGTCAAATGGCCGACGCCGTGGGGTGTGAAATCAGGGTCGGAAGCGCTTTGACTACCCCCAACAAATTGTTTTATTGTCGTCGGCCGGAAGGAGGGTT